GGATGATGGCCTTGTTGGTTAAATTTAATACAAGGACCAAGTCAGAGATAATAAAGTTGGTGTAAATTAACTCAAAACAAATCAGCATATTCAGCATATCAGAATTTGACAGATATTACCAAATCACTATGAACGCTGTCTTCTTAAGAAATGTTCATAAACACAGTTTCAAAAATAATACAAACTGAATTTATGAAAACCAAACATGAACTGAATGAAACAGTGTTTAATGTGTGGCATCATGATGTAATTACAGGTTGGTTAAACACTTTGACTGTTTGACTTATGGGATTACACTTTGGCGTCGCACACATGGTCAAGCCTAAGAAGCAAAGATTAGACTTAAACCATAAGAGGAGAGCATGTGCCCTCTAAATGTGGCAACAAACAGTACAGGATGTGTTTCAGAGAGCTGTAAAGCAGAAAATAGAGTATGTGAAAGGGTGCCCTCCCAGTTATTCATTTATTTATTTTGTTTTTTTGTATACATGTTCTTTATGAGTGAAGCACTGAGTCTTGGTTTGTAGTTAAAATCTATGCCTGTGTATTGGAATTTATATGTGTTCGTGTGTGTTTCTGAGAGCAAGAGAGGAAGATTAACAAGGAAAGAAAGTTGGCAAATCAACAAGAGAAAAAAGGGTGGGGTGGTGGTAGTGTGTCTCCAACTCTCAGCAGTCCAGTGCATTGCTCTGTGTTTTATTTCAAACTGTTTATTTATTTGCTTTATGACAACCTTGCCTTGACGATGTCAACTGCAGAGTGCAGTGAGTGTGATGACTAACACATATCTGGATAAACCACGATTCATGTCAATAGAATGTTGAGACTCACACTTTAGTAGAAGTAAAGCTTCTCGACCTTACAGCTTTACTACACTCAGAGTGGAGGATGGCTGGGCCTTCCTCGCAAGATATCACTTAGACTTTGCAGAGTTTAGTTTTCACACAGCAGATTTGAATATAAATAACAAGCTTGTAATTACATGTAGAGGTAATTAGCCATGGTCACATCTGTTTAGCAAGTGCACACTAAATTCTGCCTCGAGCACTCGCAACAATCTGAAGCCGTAACAACAAGGTCATTGGATGTTGGCTGAATATGTACATGTTTTTGAGTTCAACTCTGTATAGAAACTCTGTTCAAACTTAGGTGAAAACAGGATTATATATTCTCTTTTATATAAGCGACAGCTTATATATTCATGTTTAAAGTGCCTCCTTGCACTTTGTGTATATACTCTCTTTAGATAAAGTGTATAAATCATATGTATAGGATTTGGCATTTTATGTAATCTATCAGAATTGTTTTTGCTATGCTAAAGCTTTAAAGACTATAACTATATCCTGTATATGTATTAATGTTAGTACAATGTTAATTTTCTTATTATGGGTCACTAGTTGTCTCAATGGGTTGTGAATTTACGGTTATTTATCTACAAACAATGCATTCAATTTATCTACTGAGCTCCGAATGGTTGTCAGGGAAGAAACCCCAATATGTTTCGCTTGTTTAATGAGTGAATGTTCTTTAAGAGTTACGAGCACATAAAGGCAATTTGTGTGCGATGAATATTGGTGTTGGCAGCTACAGTATGTCTACATGTTGTGAGACCTCGGCAAGCCATCTAGTGTTTGGCTCAAGCACTGCCTTCCTCCAAAATGGAAGAGAGTCTTCCTCAGTAATCATCAGCATATCCTGATTTATATCAAAAACCCTTTATCTATTAATTAATTACATCACTTTTCCATCTATTTCATTTGTTATTGGGCCTTGATCTATATAAGAATATGTTCTTAGTCAACTGGCCTAGTGTAGCAAGTGTTTTCTATGAACATGTGAAAATGCACAATCTTTAGATAACAAAACATATATTTTCTATCTTTCTTTTTGATTCTATGCACATATTGAATGTGTTCAACATTTTCCTTGCGTCTGACATTCACTGTAATGCAAAACTTATTTTGACTTTGACTGACTGCAAGCAGATTTGAATTAATTTGTACTAAATAAACTATAACAGTGCACAATATTTGTCAGGCAAATGGACTGAAAGTGTGCAAATGTTTTAATACTGTGTAAATATGAATGGAAAAAAATAAATGTTTATTGATGAGCTGCTGTTGTGTTTATTTCTCAGAGGAGGGTGGGAATGATACAGCATTATGAACATTCAGTAAATGCATGTTGAAACAGCTGAAGTGCTGTGTAGGTAGTGGGGTGAGCACTATTCAGTACAGAGCTTCCACATTGATGAAAACAGAACATCTTAATATAAGTTACAATCCACAACAAAGTCTTCAATAATATTATTATATAGAGATTTGAAATAATATTACAACAAAGACATTTAAAAAAGAACCTGTTCACCAGACTGTACACTAACAAAACGGTGAGTATTATTACAAATATTATTTACAATGACAAGAAAACAGAAAATGAAACACTATTTTCAGCTGTGTATGAAATAAACGGCATTTGTGTTTCTTACCCAGCAACTTTTGAATTTTACAGTTAATAAAATAGCTGATATGGAAATAAATACATCAACCAAAATATTGCTGTAAGTAAAAGTAAAGTTATGATAAGAGTTTTTGAAATTCAGATGGAAAAACCAGACCATTATTCATTTTCAAACAGTGCCCGGAGCTGTAGAGGTCCACAGAAACTTTTAGATCAACAGCCCCGACAGTTTTGTTCCTCATCAAATTCATCTGCTTCAAACACAGTCTTGTGGTTCCACGATGAGTATCAAGACTCCAGAGAGTCTGTTTCTGAACTTCAGTGTGATGGATATTTCTCTGAAAGCTCATCCAGGGGGATGACTGTGTACTCTGCTGCCTTCCCATTCTCCCTGGGCTTGTCTTTATGTAGGAATGTCTCCATCTCTAGCTCCCTCTGCTGGTTTGCGGAGTTAGTTTTGGTCTCTAGCTGGGATGCTTGGCTTGGTGCATTCCATCTGCACAATAAGGAATGATGAAAATGTAATTGTATGCTCATAATAGATATATTCAAAAATATTGTTCTATTTTTTTCTGATATTTAACTCACTTGTCTCGGGTAGCGATGGCAACGCAGACAATTACCAGTGCTGCAACACCAACAATAAAACCAACAATGATGATCCAACCTGGACATATGGGAGAGTAAGAGTTGATGAGTTGAAGATGGACTGTCTTAGGCCAGAGTTCAATAATTCAAAAATCTGGATTATTAAATGCATTTTTTTCTGGACTCACCTGGTGTTGTGTGTCCTTTATTCATGGCTGATGTAGGATTGACATTCAATTTATCTAAGTCTAGAAAAAACAGAAACAGAAAATCACAATAAATAATAAAGACAAATAAAAGCAATTGTAGGCATAACTTTTGGGACAGGTATAGAATATTTACCAGGATTGTGACGCCAGCTTTGTTTCAATTTTGATTCTTGTATCTGTTTGTTTGTTGATGAATCTGAACTGGAGTAATCAGTGTGCTTTGGCAACACTGTGGCTGTGGTCTTTTCATTGGTTTCCCCCAAACCTCTGCTTTCCCATTTGTCGCTCTCTTTGGGCTGGACTTCATTTGGCACTGATGAAGACATAAAACCAGGCTGAGGACTCTGGATGGTAGATGAATCTGAACTGGATTCCTCCATGTGCCTTGGCGACACTGTGGTTGTGGTTTTGTCATTGGTGTCCCCCAAACCACTGCCCTCCCATATGTCGCTTTCTTTGGGATTGACTTCATTTGGCACTGATGAAGACATAAAACCAGGCTGAGGACTCTGGATGGTAGATGAATCTGAACTGGAT